TACTCTAGACCACCAATAATTTTCTGCACTATGGAGGACTATTTACATACAGAACAATCTTCCGTTCAAATAAAGGTATCACTCAATTTATTTGCTAAAGCAACCGTAATCCCAAACAAATATAATTGAACTGTACAATAAGAAAAATCCACGTACCTAGTTGGTAACAACTTCTTTGTGAGCTTTATATGAAAGAATTACATTCCATATTAAGGAAACAAAGTTAGCAGCAAGGACCTGTAAAAGATATGCGTTGATTTGTCAAATAAAAAAAGTACAAACGACAAAAAAATACATCTGATAACTAAATAAAGAAATGCAAAAGGCAAAAGGACATTTGGCCGCTTGAATTCATCAAAAAAAGATATATGAGTAAAATATACAAGTTGTTCTGAAAGGATGTTAAACTCTAAATTCCTAACTCTGAAACCTATATTTTTATTCTTAATTTATTCATTTCCGAATGGGCATACATACATCTTAATATCATTTCCACAACATTCATTCTATGGTCCTTAACCTGAAAATTCAAGCCTGATCATGCCCTTATATAAACCAAACCTGAAATTGTTGCGGCACAAATCTGAAGTTGAGAAATTGGAAGGGTATCCACAGCTGCCAATTTGCAAGAACAGAAGGGAACCACTCCTACAAAAAACAGGTTTAGATACTACCATGACAAGTCAAATAAATTCTTATTGGGTGTGCATCCAAATCTTAATGGAAGTAAAAATATAAAAATGAAAGATCTTTAGCAAAACCTGTTTTAGCTTCGGAATCACATGTGATGGCCTTCCCTCTAATGTCACCAGTGTAGATAAGAAAACTCCAATAAAAGTGGGCGCGAAAAGAAACTGCATTAGATCAGGTCAAATTCATTAGAAATACTCAAGAAGTCAAATTGTGATACATAGTGACAGTATGAAAGGGATATTACGAGCTCTTGTTTGGTAGGGATTTTTGGGGGAAGAATTGATTTTTGAATAGTGAGATGATGGGAAATGTGTGGTTGAAAAAAGAAAAAAAAATTATAGATGTGATGGAAAATATTATTTTATTGAAGAATGTGTGGTTGAAAATGAGA